CCCAAAAATGGCGAATATCGACCCAGAAATGGTGAAAATTGACCCAAAAATGGTGAAAATCGACCCAGAAATGGTGAAAATGGACCCAAAAATGGCCAAAATTGACCCAAAAATGGTGAAAATGGACCCAAAAATGACCCAAATCGACACAAAAATGGTGAAAATTGACCCAAAAATGGTGAAAATTGACCCAGAAATGGCCAAAATTGACCCAAAAGTGACCAAAAGTGACCCAAAAATGGCTGAAATTGACCCAAAATTTGACCCAAAATTGACCCAAAAATTACCCAAAAAAACCCCAAAATTGACCCGAAATTTGACCCAAAAATGGCTGAAATTGACCCAAAATTTGACCCAAAATTGACCCAAAAATGGTGAAAATTGACCCACAAATGGTGAAAATTGACCCACAAATGGTGAAAATTGACCCACAAATGGTGAAAATTGACCCACAAATGGTGAAAATTGACCCACAAATGGTGAAAATTGACCCACAAATGGTGAAAATTGACCCACAAATGGTGAAAATTGACCCACAAATGGTGAAAATTGACCCACAAATGGTGAAAATTGACCCACAAATGGTGAAAATTGACCCACAAATGGTGAAAATTGACCCACAAATGGTGAAAATTGACCCACAAATGGTGAAAATTGACCCACAAATGGTGAAAATTGACCCACAAATGGTGAAAATTGACCCACAAATGGTGAAAATTGACCCACAAATGGTGAAAATTGACCCACAAATGGTGAAAATTGACCCAGAAATGGCCAAAATTGACCCAAAAGTGACCAAAAGTGACCCAAAAATGGCTGAAATTGACCCAAAATTTGACCCAAAATTGACCCAAAAATGACCAAAATTTGACCCCAAAAATCGACCAAAAACGACCCAAAAACGGCCAAAATTGACCCAAATTGGGGTCGTTAAATCGGAAAAAAATCGGGGAAAAATTCCCAAAAATCCCCAAAAATTCAAAAATTCCCCAAAATCCCCCAAAATTGCCCAAAATCCGGAAATTTCCTTAAAAAAAACTCGCCCGAAGGTCCTGGAAGGTCACAAAAACACCTGAAAATCCTTCAGAAAAGGTCCTGGAAGATGAATAAAAACGGCTAAAAAAACCCAAAAAAAACAGGAAAAAAATTGGGAAAATTCCCCAAAAATTCCCAAAAATTCCCTGAAATCTTTTAAAGGTCCTGAAAGATCACAAAACCACCCGAAAACCAAACAGAAAGGTCCTGAAAGCTGCAAAAAAAAAAAAAAGCTGAAAAAACCCCAAAAAAATCAGAAAAAAAAGGGGGAAATTCCAAAAAAAAAAAATTCCTAAAAAATTCCCAAAAATTCCCAAAAATTCCCAAATCGTCTCTGAAATCCTCTGGAAGTCCTGAAAGGTCACAAAAACACCTCAAAACCCACTTGGGAAGGTCCTGGAAGCTGCATAAAAAAAAAAAAAAACCCAAAAAAATCCGAAAAAAAATCCGAAAAAAATCGGGAAAATTCCGGAAAAATTCCCGGAATTGTCAGAGGATTCCAGGAGCTCACCTGGGACGCCTGGACGATGATGGGCACCCCCAGGAGGCGCTGGCCCGTCAGGCCGATGGCCAAGGGCACCGATTGGATCTCGCAGAATTCCACGTACGCGATGCCCTTGGAACGTCGGGAATTCCGGTCCGAGATGATCCGGACGTCCCGGACCTGGGGGAGGGGAAACGGAACGGGAAAAAACACGGATGGAACGGGGTGGGATTGTTTTGGGGATTTTTGGGGATTTTTTGGGGATTTTTTGGGGATTTTTTGGGGATTTTTCGGGAAGTTTTTGGGATTTTTAAGGATTTTTTAGGGATTTTTTGGGGATGTTTTGGGGTTTTTTTGGGATTTTTTGGGGATTTTTTAAGGATTTCTTTGGGAATTTTTGGGGATTTTTTAAGGATTTTTTTCGGATTTTTTGGGGATTTTTTGGGAATTTTTTGGGATTTTTTGGGGATTTTTTTGGATTTTTGGGGGATTTTTTGGGAATTTTTTGGGATTTTTTTGGATTGTTAAGGATTATTTGGGGAATTTTTTGGGAATTTTTTGGGGGATGTTTTGGGATTTTTTAAGGATTTTTTTGGGATTTTTTCGGCATTTTTTGGAGTTTGTTTTTGGAATTTTTAGGGAGTTTTTTTTGAGATTTTTTTGGGATTTTTAAGGGGTTTTTTGGGACTTTTTTGGGAATTTTTTAAGTTTTTGGGACTTTTTTGGGATTTTTTGGGCGATTTCTCCCAAATTTTCCCAGGATTTTTCCAGAATTTTCCCAGGACTTTTCCGGAATTTTCCCGGGATTTTCCCAAAATTTTTCCAGAACTTTCCCAGGATTTTCTCTGAATTTTTCTGGAATTTTCTTGGAATTTTCCAGGCATTTTTCCAGAATTTTCCCTGAATTTCCCCAGGATTTTCCGGGGATTTTCCCAGGATTTTCTGACTATTTTTCTGGAATTTTCCGGAGATTTTTCAGGAATTTACCGGAATTTTCCGGGGATTTTCCTGGAATTTTCCCATGATTTTCCCTGAATTTTCCCAGGATTTTCTGGGTATTTTTCCAGAATTTTCCGGGGATTTTCTGGTGATTTTTCCGGGATTTTTCTGGAATTTTCCCTGAATTTTCCCAGGATTTTCCCGGGATTTTCTCTGAATTTTTCTAGAATTTCCCCCGGATTTTTCCGGAATTTTCCAGGAATTTTCCTAAAATTTTCCCTGAATTTTCCCGGGATTTTCCCGGGATTTTCCGGGGATTTTCCGGGGATTTTTCCGGAATTTTCCTGGGATTTTCCAGGGATTTTTCCGGGGATTTTCTGGGTATTTTTCCGGAATTTTCCGGGGATTTCCCGGGGATTTTCCCGGAATTTTCCGGGGATTTTTCCGGAACTTTCCCGGGATTTTTCCGGAATTTTCCGGGGATTTTCCGGGGATTTTCCCATAATTTTCCGGGGATTTTTCTGGGGATTTTTCCGGAACTTTCCGGGGATTTTTCCGGAACGTTCCGGGGATTTTTCCGGAACTTTCTGGGGATTTTTCCGGAACGTTCCCGGGATTTTTCCGGAACGTTCCGCCGCACCTTTCCGACGGCGGAGAAGAAATCCTCGAGGTCGCGGGGCCGGATGCGGGCGGCGAGCTGCATGCAGAAAACCGTCCTGGCGTCCCTCTCCTCGGGGCTCAGCGACCCCAGCGGCTCCCTGGGAAAAGGGGGGAGAGGAATTCCCAAAAATTCCCAAAAATTCCCCAAATTCCCGTGGAATTCCCCAAAAAAATCCGGCGGGAAAAGGCCCAAAATTGACAAAAGCAGCCCCAAAATCGACCAAAATTCAGCAAAATCTGCCCAAAACGGATCCAAATGAAGCCAAAGGTTCCCAGAATTCCCAAAGAGACGGAATTCCCAAAAATTCCCAAAAATTCCCAAAAATTCCCAAAAATCTCGGTCAAAAAACCCCAAAATTGACAAAACTAGACCCAAAATCGACCAAAATTGAGCAAAACGAGCCCAAAATGGACCCAAAATGAATCCAAAAATTCCCTGGGAAAAGTGGGAGAGGCTCCTGGGACGGAATTCCCAAAATTCCGGCAGAATTCCCAAAAATTCCCGCGGAATTCCCCAAAAAATCCGGCGAGAAAAGGCCCGAAATTGACAAAAACAGCCCCAAAATCGACCAAAATTGAGCAAAATTCCCAAATTTTCCCCCAAAATTCCCAAATTTTCCCCCAAAATTCCCAAATTTTCCCCCCAAATTCCCAAATTTTCCCCCCAAATTCCCAAATTTTCCCCCCAAATTCCCAAATTTTCCCCCAAAATTCCCATTTTCTCCCATTTTCCACCTCATTTTTCCCCATTTTTCCCCTTTTTTCCTTAAAATCCCCATTTTTTCCTCCCAAATTCCCATTTTTTCCCCGTTTTTCCCCATTTTTTCCCCCTAAAATCCCAATTTTTTCTCCCAGAATTCCCATTTTTCCCCATTTTCCAGGTTTTTTCCCATTTTCTCCCATTCTTTCCCCTAAAATCCCCATTTTTTTGCCAGAATTCCCGGTTTTTCCCCAAAATTCCCATTTTTTCCCACCTTTTTCCCATTTTTTTTAACCAACATTCCAATTTTCCCCACTTCTCCCCATTTTTCCCTAAAATCCCTATTTTTTCCCCAAAATTTCCATTTTTTCCTCATTTCTTCCTGCTTTTTTTCACCTTTTTTCCCATTTTTTCCCCGTTTTTCCCAGTTTTTTTCCCAGAATTCCCCATTTTTTCCCATTTTCCCCCCTTTTTTTCCCCATTTTTCCCATTTTTCCCGTTTTCCCCAGTTTTTTTCCCAGAATTCCCCATTTTTTCCCATTTTCCCCCCTTTTTTTCCCCATTTTCCCCCAAAATTCCCATTTTTCCCCCAAAATTCCCGTTTTTCCCGGTTTTTTTTCCCGTTTTCCCGCTTTTTCCCCCCGTTCTCACCTCCCGGGGCTCTCCCGGTACAGGGGGCTCTTGCTGTGCCCGAAACGGCGCCTGCGGAACGGAATTCCCGCCAATCCCTCGGAATCCCCGGAATTCCCGACGGAATCCCCGCGTTTCCCGCCAAAACTCCCGGATTTCCCGCCAAAAGTCCCGGATTTCCCAATGGAATTCCCGGATTTCCCAACAGCAGTCGCGGATTTCCCGCCAAACCTCCCGGATTTCCCAACGGAATTCCCGGATTTCCCGCCAAAATCCCCGCATTTCCCGCCAAAACTCCCGGATTTCCCAACGGAATTCCCGGATCTCAGGGGGTTTGGGGTTGGATTTCCTGGGATTTTGGGGTGAAAATTCCAGGATTTTGGGCAATTTGGTGCTGGAATTCCAGAATTCGAGTTGGAATTCTGGGATTTGGGCCGGAATTC